CAGAGAGCAGTGTCAGGTGTAAACGAGGTCCCTTTGCAGTGCTAACGCTGAGGAAAAACAAATAACCATGGTGCACATTTGTAAAATTAATTTTACTATATGCAGATGGGTGTCCAGACATTTTCAGGTTTCAAACCCCTGTAGTTTCATAGCTCCTATAGGGGTTTTCTCTGCTTTTGTCGTTCCCCGCACTGTGCCTCTGCCCTCCTTTCTTACTAGTCATGTGGCAGGCTCATAAGCCCACTTGACTTGACATAGTACCATCTTGCTAATTGCTTTTTCCTGTCAGCTTTCACTGGACACTGAATATGTGAAATTGTACTTATTGAAGTTGGCATGTTAGGCTACTGTGAAACTTTGCAAGCTCAGTAATTAGGGGAAAATTTAGGATTTGTGGCAGTCTTCCCAATTTATCTAAAGACACATCCCTCCCTGCCAATTCCCCATGACACTAACACTTGAACCGCTAAATTTGTCATAGCCTTTAAGGGCACGATCTATAGGAATCTCGAGGAGCACCTTTCTCACAGACTTGTTAAGTATCAAGTAGCAGCAGTTTGTAAAATGATAACACATTTCTTAATATACTTCTGCTCATATCTGATCAGCTTTTGCCTTCAAAATAAAAATCTGCTCAATTTATACCATAGATACTGTAAGAAAGCCAGCCATTAGATTCCTGGTCAGGGCATATTTCGGGCTTATGATTTCCTGTGTATACATGTATTATGGATTCAATTTTGTTCATATTTCCACTCTCTGTCCTTATAAAATTGATCATTTATAGATCATAGTTCTTTTAACATTATTTTTTGTTAATTTAGTAAACACAAATTAGCCTTTCTCAGGAAAACCATTCTTTGGCTTTTCTAATATGTCAAGTTAAGAGACCATAAAAGGAATATCCTACTATGTACTATCTGAGTCTTCCCCATAGATGTAAGTATAGCTTTATTGAGATAGACTTTATATAGTACAAAATTTTACTATTTTTAAAGTGTACAGTTCACTGTGGGGTTTTTTTTTTCCCCCAGAGTTACACAGCATCACCACTACCTAATATTAAAACGTTTTTATCAACCCACAAAGACCTCATCAACTGCCCCATCCCACCCCTGCCTGCCCAACCTCCATACCCATTACCAGTCACTCCCCATTCCATCTTCACAGTCACTCTCTGTCTCTAGGTTGCCTGTTACAGACATTCCATACAAGTGTAACCATACAATACGTGGTCTTTGTGACTGTTTGTCCTTGGTGTAATGTATCAGTATGCCATTCCTTTTATTGCTGAATATTATTCCCATTGCGTAAATATACCACATTTTGTTTATCCATTCATTAGCTAGACATGGTGTTTTTGTTTTCACTTTTTGTTTTCTGCTTTTTGACTAGTATGAATAATGTTCCCAGTGAACACAAGTTTTTATGTGTACATGTGTTTTTAGTTTCTCTTGAGCATTATACCTAGGAGTGGAATGGCTGGGGCAGAGGGTAACTAACTTAGCCTTTTGAGGAACTGCCACTCCTCTGAGTATGTACCATTTTACATTCTCAACAGCACTGAGTAAGGATTTCGATTTCTCCACACCCTGTATCTTGGAAAAATGTCTGTTCAAGTCCTTGCCCATTTTTTATGTTCAGTTGTATTTGTTGTTGGGTCGTATTCTAGATGATAGTACCTTATGAGACACATGATTCGCAAATATTCTCCCATTCTGTGAGTCCTGTCTTTACTTTCTTGATACTGTCCTTTGAGAATCACCAAAGTTTGTAATTCTGGTGAAGTCCACATGATTTAGATAATCTGATATTTTAAGTAGTAATTTTCCATTGGGTAATAATGAGAGTCTGTTACATTTGCATTTCCTAAACTAAGTAGAGAGTCAGAGATGACAAAAACACCTTTAACTGTAAGGAATGAAACTTACAGGACCCCCCTCCTTTTTTTTTGCAATCATTGATATACAATTACATGAGCAAAGTTGTGGTTACTAGACTCTCCCCATTATCAAGTCCCCCCCACATTCCCCATTACAGTCACTGTCCATCAGCATAGTAAAATGCTGTAGAATCGCTACTTGTCTTCACTGTGTTATACTGCCTTCCCCGTGCCCTCCACCCCCACATTATGTGTGCTAATTGTGATGCCCCTTTTTCCCCTTCTCCCTCCCTTCCCACCCATCCTCCCCAGTCCCTTTCCCTTTGGTAACTGTTAGTCCATTCTTGGGTTCTGATTCTGCTGCTGTTTTGTTCCTTCAGTTTTTACTTTGTTCTTATACTCCACGTATGAGTGAAATCATTTGGTACTTGTCTTTCTCTGCCTGGCTTATTTCACTGAGCATAATACCCTCTAGTTCCATCCATGTTGTTCCAAATGGTAGGATTTGTTTTCTCCTATGGCTGAGTAATAATCCATTGTGTATATGTACCACATCTTTTTTATCCATTCATCTACTGGTGGACACTTAGGTTGCTTTCATTTCTTGGCTATTATAAATAGTGCTGTGATAAACATAGGGGTGCCTGTCTTTTTGAAACTGGGCTCCTGCATTCTTATGGTAAATTCCTAGGAGTGGAATTCCTGGGTCAAATGGTATTTCTATTTTCAGTTTTTTGAGGAACCTCCATACTGCTTTCCACAGTGGTTGAGCTAATTTACATTCCCACAGCA